CAGGAGGGTGACTGGTTGTAAGGTTAGGTTAGTGGTGATGGTATGGTGAAGAGTATGGTAGTGCAGGTACTGCAGTACCAGTGTTCTACTACTTGGTATTGACCTCAAAGGCATCATCGTGGGCATTATGACTCTAGTAAGAAAATTTCCGTTATATATATTATTTTAATTATCATTGATTTTTTTTATTTAAACTATTTTTTTTTATCCTGTACTTGTTAATTTTTTCCCCCTTTAGTTGGATTTGACTTTCTTGGGATGATTCGTGTGTAAAGCTTGTTACAGGAGCATAATGAATGTGGTGCCAACACACACCAAAACTACACGCTTGTAAACTAGCAATTTAGTGGATTACATTAGTTCTTAGACTGAGGTTTTCCTACAGATGCAAGAATAAAGTAAAGACGGAAGCCATCACACACAAGGTGAACTAGAAATTTACCAAGAAAATTTATCCTTTTATTAACTCGTAAATTTACACTTGGGTGTTGCTACACACACCAAGTTTTGCTTTAATTATCTTTAAATGGATTAAGAGCCCATCACCTTGATGCTGGTGATGAGCTCTTGATTCAAGGGACTGGAGCTATCACCCTATCCCCGCACTTGATCAAACTCGACTCCCTTGCACTTTTTAACTTAAGTCTGCCACGCAGTTTTAGTTTGCGTGATAAATTAGAGGTGATTACTAATGTATTTATCTTTAGTAGATTAGCCGTAGTGAAAATACATTATCTTAAAAAAAAAAAAACTCCAGGCATGTCGTCTATGAGCAAAATGCGTTTTTTCTATCTAGACTGTCGTACTATTACGTCTTTTCCAAATGTTTTACTTTGGAAATACTTCATAACGTTGGCAGCTTGTGGTAGAGGCGGCCAGGCACAATTTATGTAGTAAGTTTACCTTCTAGTTTAAAGTGGAAGACTGGTAATGTTTGGTTAGTAATTAAACTTTTCTTTTTAGGCGAGCCTGACTTTACTCAGTTTGGTGGTATGGAGGGTTGTTGGCCTACCTGCTGCCCCAGTGCCACCCTCTACAGCACCTGCAGCATCACCAGCACCGCCCAGTAACTGTGAGTACTGGTGCCGCACTCCTGAAGACACTTTCTACTGCTGCCACGACGATCAGCTCTCAGATCCCACAGGCTAGATTTTATTTTTAGTAACATTGCTCATGGACTGCATACGCAAATATTGAACTACACTAATAACTGACCACTAGGTGCGATTTTAATGTGGAAACCCTAACGTTGGTCTGTCAGCCTGCTCACTGCTAAACCATTGGCTGGCGTACTGACACTTAAGATTGATTTTCAAATCTAGGGTCGATGCCCCTCTGAATAGTCTTCAATAACCCTATAGTCTCTAAAAAATTAGAGGCAAAAGTGGCGAACGGTAGTATTGACTCTGGTTGTACGTTGGGCTCTCTTCAGTGATATAACTTATCACGTGTAGGCAGTTTAAAAATTCACATTTTCTTCGTAAAATTAGCAACACTGCTTTTTCTTTGCGTATTTGCAAGAGTGCCAAGTACAGGTTCCGTTTGGTGTCTAGGCGAATGTGACGATGGCTATTAGGTCTGGCAAAGTTTGGAAACAATGGTTGTTTTCCCACTTTGTCTAAAATAAAATAATCTCCAGGTAATTTCTAGAATTAGTTGTGTACCCTAATGTGCCTGAGTGTGTAAGCTCTGCTTACACTAACGTTCCCTCGTTAAGTCTGTTTTACTCCTTGATTGGCATAAATAAATATTTAAATGTTATCTCCAGACAGTGCCTCTCTTCATGGTAAATATACTCGTAGTAATTTTACGTGAAGGATCAGTTATATCTGTCAGTTATATCTGTAACACCATTCATTTTTCAATGTTTAATTGACAAAAATTTGTTGGAAAAACTAAGCATGTGTTGTACGTTCAGTGTTCCCAGTTTGTTACCGCTTTTCCTGGTGTGGTGTACACATTACCAAGTTAAGCACCATTTGAGTCTATTAAGAGGACACATGGCTCCTCTTTGATGGATGGAACACAGTAACTTAGAAGCCATCTGCAGCGACGTAATTCCTTTTATGCTACAAAACAGTGTTAAGAATTTAAAATTTAAAAGGAAAAATATTCAATTATGATTTAAACATGTAAACTAGACACTTAAAACTGTATATCGCTGTACTTGTTAGAATCACGCTCTAAACATTACTCGACTCCTGAGTAATTTAAAATTAATTCGTCGCTCAACCTCTGGGACGAGCGGACGTGAGCTGAGCCTGCCCTCTGCTGTCAGCCGGTGACAACTTGGTTTTCTCAAAATGGCGCAGCAGGCAAGAAGGGTAAACACTGTCGGCATAGAAGTGGTGCGTGGGGCTGTGCATGCCCACTCAGCTCAAGTTTTATTACCTGCCATCATCAGGGACACATACGGCATTGCCAACGAAGAGCTGCATGGTGTAGCCTTGAACGGGGCATATAGAATTTTTGTGAAATTCCTCAATGCAAGTGTATACGGGGACATAGTCGCCAGGGCTACATGTGTCCCGCCATTATATGTGGGTGAAGATCAGAAATGTACCCTTTGAGGCTGATGAGGCAGACCTACGTGTCGTCTTCGAGAAGTTTGCGACTGTTCATATGGCGACATTGGGGAAATGGAAGGAAGGATCGTATTCTGGGATGCCTGAAGGAAGTTTTTCCTTAAAAATGACATTGAGGCATCCTATTCCTTCCTATATTTTCCTAGAAGACTTCAGGACTCGAGTAATGGTGACTTACGCAGGGCAACGACGTACCTGTCGATTATGCGGTGCCTATGATCACATTGCTGCACAGTGTGTTAAACAACAGGGTACACAGGCGAAGGAGCAGCATAAGGAGGCATCAGAGGACCTTGAGACGTTGAATTTGGCACGACCTGAGTCGGTTTCCTTGAACAAGACTTGGAGTGTGGAGGTCGAGGAGGCCTTGAGGGAGGAAGAGTGTGTAACTCTTCCGAGAGAGTCGTGCATTGCCGGGCAGGCACCGGAGACCAAAGATGTGGTGTCGCTGGGTGAGGACAGGGCCATGGAGGCTACCATTGATTGTCCTTCACAACCTGTTAGGGACCCCAGGAGAGGTCACAGTTGAGGGGCTTGTGGGTGCCCTGGATGCTGTTGGGGTTCCAGGTGGTGAGAGGGGGGGAGGCATGTCAGAGACCCAGGTTGAGGCTGGGTTGCAAATTGGCACGGTGGTGGCGGAAGTGCACGGGGATGGCTTCCAGGTGGAGGCGGGGAGAAAGGCTCGAGTGTCACGGAAGAGAGCGGCAGTGCCCTCGGACGTGGACGATGTGCTCATTCCGGCACAGCGTTCGGGCAAAAAGGTTTGGGCTGAAGTGGTTGAGCATGGACCTGGGGGGTCCAGGGGCAAGGGGCATGTGAAAGCAGATCACAGAATGGTGATTGAAGATCAAGGGCATATAAAGGGGAAAGGGGATAAAGGTGGTGCAATACGTAAAGGAAAACCTCCATTGACAAATTCAAGAGTCTCTATAAATGTTAATGGTCTGAAAATTCTAGGAAGTGTGTATGGTTTCAAGAGATGCTTATTAGGTATGGTGTGGATGTAGTGTTTGTGCAAGAGCACAACCACAAGCTGGGTTGTATGTTGATGATTGAGGGGTATACTGTATATGCGGCACACTCGACGAGATTGAAAGGAGTAGGTGGCTATTTTTGGTGAGGAGGCTAGCCCGTTTACTGTACATCATTGTGAGGAGGGGGGTGAGGGGAGGGTTATAAGAGTGGATGGGACATGGGGAAGAGATAAGATGTCTTTTGTGTGTGTTTATGGTCCGGCGGAGGGGACAGTCGAGTGAAGAATGAGTTTGTTGCGTGAAGTGTTGGTGTATCACTTAAGGTCGCTTCCAGCATTAGCTGTGGTGGGAGGGGACTGGAATTGCGTTATAAACCGCAAGGATGTGGAACCTAGGGAGCGGATATTGTTCTGGCGTTCTGAGGGACCTGTTAACCGGGGTGGGGTTGGTGGATGTGGAGGGGGGGGGCAGCATGGGAGGTGCAGCACACCTTTGTGAGGCAGGGGTATGCTGCACGGCTGAACAGGATATACGTGACAAGGAAAGTAGTGGTGTGGAGTGTAAGAGTTTTGGATGTCTTTTTTTCTGATTATAGAGGTGTTTTGGTGGATTTGGGATGGGAGGGTTGGCCGAACAGGCATAAGAGTTATTGGAAATTGAATGTTCGGTTGCTTCAAGATGTTGAGGGGAGGGTCCTATTTGCACAATGGTGGAAAGGCTTATGGGAGGGGATGGAAGTCAATGGGGATGTTGAGATGGTGGGATGTGACGGCGAAGACGAGGATTCGAGAGTTCTATGTCCGACAGGGAAGGCACGAGAATCAGTTGGCTTATGGGCTTATTAGGTATCTTGAGGGGCAGTTAAGGGAGTATTATGAGAGAGGAAGGGGGGGATGGGAGCCCCAGTGGCTGACAGAGGGAGTGAAGGAACGTCTATTGGAAGTGCAAAATGAGAGGTTTGATGCGGCAAGGGTTTTAGGGGGGTTGGAGGAGGTCATGTGGGGTGATAGACCATCGGCGTGTGTCCTGCGAGGGCAGGGGCGCCAGCGCGTTGCAATGGAAATGGTGGGTTTGAGAGTTCTTGAGGACATCGAGGGGTATAGGGAGGGACAAGATTTGGTGACGACAGAGGGGATGGGAGGGTATGTTGATGCTTGGCTTAGTGCACATATGAGGAGTGTGGGTGTGAGAGAGGAGGCTTTAAGAGAGACTGGGATGGATGTGGCATGTGCTGGACAGGGATGACAGGGAACAGTTACAGGGGCCTATTGTGGAGGAAGGTGTGGACGGCTTTAATGAGTATGAGCAGGGGTAAGGCACTGGGGATAGATGGGCTGCCTGCGCAGTTTTACATACAGCATTGGGGAGTATTAAAAGAATTTTTGGTGCAATTATTTAATATCATAAAAGAGAGGGGTGTGTTGGGACCTTTGCAGGCGACAGCACTAGTAGTTTTGGTGCCAAAGGGTGAAAGTCAGTGCACAGTGAGAGATTACCGGATATCACTCGTGTGCAGACTACAAACTTTTTGCAAAAATTTTGGGAAATCGTATAAAAAAGGTAATTGGAAAGGTAATAGTGAGGGGTCAATATGGGATTCCGGGGAGATCAATGTATGAGGGGCATGGGGTTATTAGGTTTGAGGGTCTGCAAGAGGGGGAACGAGGGGTATTGGTGTTGGATTGGAGAACGGCATATGACAGTGTCGAGAGGGAGGCTCTGTGGAGAATCATGGAGTGGCAGGGGTTCGGGGAGGACATTGTGAATTGGGCACGTACTTTATATCAGGGAGCTGGGATGTGTGTTCAGATTAATGGGAGGGTGGGGTTGCATGTGAAAATGGGCAGGGGATTGAGGCAGGGTTGCCCGTTGTCACAAATATTATTTGCATGTTTACAGAATCCGTTTTATAGGGCAGTGGAAAGGTGCATACAGGAGGGGGTAAGGGAGGACATACGAGGTGGGAGTCCCGGTATCATAGGTTATGTTGATGACACAACTGTCCTAGTGAGTGGGAGGGAGGGATTGGAGGGTTTGGAGAGATCATAATGTTTTTGGGATGGCAACAGGTATGGCAGTGAATGTGCATAAATCAAAGCTCATGAGATTGGGTGAATGGGATGGGCGAGGTGAGGTGAGGTGAGGTGAGGTGAGGTGAGGTGAGGTGAGGTGAAAATTTGTGGAGTTGTGTATATGAGTAATGCTCAGATGGCAAGGGAGAATAATTCAAAGGGTGTGGTAGATAGGGTATTGGGGAGATTGTCAGGATTGAGGCCGACACGTCTTACGCTACACCAGAGGGTCATGGTGGTCAATGTGCTTTTGTACAGCAAAATATGGCATGTGGCAGCTTTGTACCCTTTGGTGTATGGGGATGTCCGGAGATTGTTGAGCAGAGTTTTCTGTTTTATCTGGGGTTCGGGATGCGATTGGTTGAAAAGGGAGGTGGTAACACTTCGGGTGGCCTTGGGAGGGCTGGGGTTAATTCATTTGGAAAGAAGGTTGAAGTGTGTATATGTGAAACATGGGTTGCTAAGGGCTTGGGGGGAAGGGAGTGGAGGGTTAGGGATGCTGCAGGGAGATCTTCGGAGATGGTGGAAGGGACAAGATTTGAGAGATGGTGAGGAGTTGTTGCGTCTATTGATGGTCAGAGAGCCGAGAAACATGCGGGTAGGGTCCATGGAGAGGAAGATATGGCCTAGGGTGGTAGTGGCAACGGAAGGAGTGTACCCGATGTACGCATGGGAAGACATTTGGGGTCGATTAAAAGGGTTACGCATCCGGCCACACGTGAGGGAGGTAATGTATAGGTTTCTTCACGGAATATTGCCGTCTGGGGTTGTTTTACGAAATAGGCGAATAAGGGAGGGTGGGGAGTGTCAGGTTTGTGGGGTAGATGAATCAGCTTTTCATGTAGTTTATTTTTGTGAAAGCCTAGGGATTGTGCGGGAATGGTTAGGGAAAGTAATCCGGTATGTGGGGGGGGGGGGGGAAGGGTTTGTCGGTTTTGAGAGCGCTCAGTTTAGATGTAGGTGGGGTTGGGGTAAAGGTTCAAAGGGCAGTGGCTTACTTAGTGGTTGATTGTGTGTATATCATGGGCAATAAGAGACAAAGGGGCGGAGGAACGTAGGATGGCCATAGCAGCATCCTTTTATAGAACAAAGTGTCGTAACGGAAATATATGGTAGGAGGTGGGAGAGGGATTTCTCGGAGGACTACAGGGACTTTCTTTTGAGGGATTTATGGTCTTTATAAGCGGTCAGGGGCATGAACGGGCTGGCCTTCCCAGGAAGGGGGGGGTTGTGTGTGTTGCAGAGGTCGATTGTGTGAGTGTGTGGAATTGTGTGAGGAAAGGATGTTGAGGTGATATTCAATGTAATGTCTTGGTGTTATTGTGAACACCGATGATTATAATTTATCTAAGGATTCCTTCATGTTTTGTAAGGATGTACATAAGCATGTTAGTATATAAGCATATTTTAACCTGTAATTATACACGTCTACCTATATATGAGCAATGTAACTTGTCATAATAATGAGGCATTCACACCTGTTTTTTAACTAGTGGAACGTTTTGGTATTGTATATAATGTAAGATCTTGCCTGGGGTGTTTTTGCTTATATATTGTTAGAGGTTTTTTCACATTTTCATTATATATGTTCAAGTGAATAAGTTTTTGATCTTGTGTATAGCCAGGTGAAACTGGACAGTTTTTCACTTGGGGGGGGGGGGGGGGTAGGTAGGGTAGGAGTTTAAGTAATCTCTGCAATAGCAGGTCATGTGACACACATGTCATATTATTTAAGATGTCTAATGTTGTCCATTCTCGGTAGGATGTGATGTATATATTATCTCCGGCAGTGTAAATAATCTGTCTGCAGGAGGGAATAATGTGTAAATTTATTTATTATTGTGGTAGGTTTGTGAATAGCGTGTTTTTAGGGTGATATATTATAAGACGCTAATAACCATCAATGACTGTTGGTGGTTATGAGTGGTGACGGCAGACAGTTAATAGGCATGGGGGGGGGGGGGGTTTGAAGTGTCAGCGGTAGTGTATTAAATCCACCACCGTGCACGATATTAATTATTACCATAGGGTATATGAGGGTAGGGTGGATTGTGTTCTATGTTTGATGTCAGCCATCAGGTTCAGACATTCCTTGTATTATAGTGTCAGCCGTTTAGCTGGCTGGATTGTGTTTCTATATTTGTCATTGAAGTTTTTAATGCTTTTACAAATGTATAAGTATAAGAGATTTGTCACTAAAAAACAAAAAAAAAAAAAAAAAAAAAAAATTAAATTACCCAGTGACTAATTACCCAGTGACTGTCTTAATTTACTGATAATAGCACCAAATTACATAGATGGCTGTTGATACTGTTAAAGGAGCATAAGTAATAGAATTTCTGTACACTTAAAATGTCGGGAGATTGTCATATAGTATTAGAGGAGACTTTAAATTATATTAGTGTGCTAAAAGTATGTCAATAATATAAGAGCATATAGTCTTTTGCCGTCACTGTTATGAATTTTAAACTAGCTTTTTGTGATTTGACTACCATGATTTTTATGAAAAAATGGGGAAATGTATAAATTTACCTAGTTGTATTACCTTGTGCTATATTCCATATTAGCAACAGAAGGTTTGCTCTACAGAGCACCCAGGCTACTGCCCAGCCACTCGTTCAACTTGTCCAACTATAGACAAAAAACTCCCTGAGACTTTACCTCGCAGGGACTACAATGGCGTCACCTTCCCTGATCTACCTCGCGTGAGTTTACATCCCTATAAAAAATATGTAAATCTAGCGTCTTAAGGAAGATGCACATGTGATTGATAATTCCTAAAAAAAATAAACTTGCCTTAGGTCTGTCTAGTAACCTAGAAATTAAATTCTCCTGGCAAAAAAACTTACTAGAACTTTTAAAAAATTTAAATAGTTTTCATAAATATTCCGATGAACATGTATGTTAATTTGAGATTCTTGGAAGTGATACATAGTACTTCACTAATTTTTTTTCCCTTAGGATGCCACTAGTGAATTATTTTCAACTCTTAAACAGATTAAAATGTACTAATGTTCCAGCACACTATCAAAAGCAGTCATATGAAAGGTAATTCGTACAGTCTCTACCAGTTCTGTGCGACAGACGGATCCTGTGAACATTATGAGAAGTGTTGCTTCGACGCTGTTTTCGCAAGCATGTTTGTAAATTTGCCTTCAGTGAAGATACAAAACTCAAGGTTGGTTTCTATTTTTTACTTTAATTCCTTCGTGCATTCTAACTTGGTATTAAAATGAAAAACTTTTATATAGTCAACTCGTGGTAGTCACTCGGGCAACCGTGAACCTGTATATATAAGCTTTTAGCTTTGCTTTTCAGTTAGCATTTTATTAAATAATTCTGCAAGCCCGGGTTTAAACTAAAACATATATTTGTGTAAAATTTATTTTTGAAAGGGCCCAATAGCTTGCCTTGTTAACAGTATTCAGAAAAGGGGCAAAAAGCTGCGGGCTGACGGGGTTCAGACCCCATCCCCAGACGAGGGTTTCCCAGTGATTTGGCGTTTTTCTTTTGGGAACTTTTTATTTATAAACTTTAAGCAGTTTTCTTGAAACTGGTTTAGTATGGGCCAAAAACAAAAGCAAAATATCTTTTTTAAAAATTTAGTACTTAATATTTTAAAAATTTTTTAGCACTGGGGTTTCAACTATACCCCCTTTTAAACATTTTTTTAAGGGTACCCACCCAAATGTTTATCGAACCCTTATTTTTTCTGCCCTGGCAAAAATATTTTTGCCAAAATTTTGATTGAATATATTAAGGTTTAATTTGAGGGGGCCCAAACCCCCCTCACAGAGGGAAAAACTAAAAAATATGACATCCAGGGCCCCCAAGTTTTCCTCTTTTTTTTAATTTATCCAAATTTATTTTTAAAATATTTTAAAAAAAACTGAACTTTTAAATTTTGGTTGGCATTAATTCCCCATTCTGTACCAAATCTGGAAAACCACATGGGGGAAAAAACATATGAAAACAAAAGTGATTTGGGAAAACACCCCGGGGGAATAATGGTTAATGCACTAACTATATACCTTCAAAAAACCCCAAAATTGCCCTTTTTTACGGGTTTTAATTTTTTCGGTCCCTTAAACATTTTACGGAAAATTAAAAATTCATTTGTACCCCAGGTAGATATTTTGAAAGAGGTGTAGGTATTTTAATTTGACCCGTGCACCTTTCAATCGGGTTTCCCAGGAACGGGTTTTCGCCTATTTTTGCTTTAGTATTTCACTCCGGGTTTTAAAATTAAAATGTTTTTGAAGTAAACCAATTTTGATATAAAAGATTTACTTCAGTCCCACTAAGGGTTTTGAAATGTAAAAAATTCCCTTAAATGATTACTCCGGTAATTAGACAAGCAAAAAATAAATTTTTGGACAGTCCTACACTTTTTAAAATTACTGTGTTTAGTTCCTCAACTTTTGGGTAAACCCCTTTAATTTTAAACCTAAATATTTCCCTTTGGGGGGAAAAGGTATAAAACCCGGGACACTTTGGGAAGATTTGCAGTATGCGATTGCAAAAAAACGGCTTTTCCGCCTTTTTACCTACCCCTTTCCCTAAAAATTTTTTTAAATTTTTGATTTTTTCCCTCCCTTTGACCTTAACTACAGTAGTTTTAAAAATTTGGTAAAAAAGCGGTTAAGACTTGAAAGTTTTGCTTACTTTGGGTTGGGGTTTTTCCCTATGACTTAAGACAGAGTTTTACAGGAGCAGAAAGGGAAACCGGGTTTTAAATTCAAAGGGCCCTTTCCCTCGACGCGGGTTTTGGATGGGGGCCCGAGGGGGGGCCCTTTTAAATCTAGGGTTTTGGATCGTCCCTTTCATTTCCCCTGAATAGTCTGAATCCCTTCCCCACTCCCCCCCCCCCCCCTACGGGGGCTGGAAACCCTCCCGTTTTTTAGCGCTCTCCATGAAAAATCAGGCGAGGAGACCCTTTTAAACAGCCCCTTTACCTTTGTTGGGTACCTTTTTGTGCTAGGTATTTTTTTTTTTAAAATTTAAAGATTTTTTGGGGTATGTAAAACACACCACCACACACACAACACACACACACCCCACACACACACCCCACACACCCCACACACACACACACACGAATTAAAATTTTATAGGGGGGATATAAAACTCTAGAACTGTCCTGGAGACCCCACCCCTCAGAAAAAGAATAAAACTTGCTTAAAGGGAAAAAACTAAAGGGTTTTTTTCCCTGAAGCTGTTTAAGAATTTTCCCCTTTACCACCTCCTTATTAATATATTTTTTTTAAAAAGGACAAAATACATTGCCCAAAACTTTCAAAAAGATACAATAGAAAGTAAAACAACCCATGGGTAACTAAAGAGCTAATCCTCAAATACTTCGTCCAGCTCCCCGGCGGGGGGCCCAACGTCCCCAAAATTCGGGCAGGCATTTCCTTTTCCTGGATCGCAAAAATGAGTCTCAAAAAGGGGAAAAGCGGGTTTAAACCCTTTGGTCCTTTTATTTTACTTATAACATAAATTTACAAAACGTTTTTTTTGGGCGCACGGATGTTATGGGCCCGTAAATTGCAGAGTCACTTTTTTGAAACAGAAATGTTTAAAATGCCTCAAATGATGTAGGGGAAGTTTTAGCTTTTAAAGGGGTGGGAAAACCCAAAAAACCTATCATTGGGGGTTAGTCTACAACCCCCCGGGAATGCAACATCCCGAAATTTCCCAAAAAAAGGGGGCTTTTTTCCCCCGGGCGGAAAATCTTCCAGTCCTGCCCCCAACATCTTGCTCCGGGGGGAAATTTCAACTTAAGGCCCCTTTAAAAGGTGAATTTTGCAAATAAATTGTTGAGTAATAACCAAAAGGGGGGCAGCTCTGATGGGAAAAATCTCACTCGCACGAGCTTTTAAATCTTTTGCCCCCAAAATTTAATTTAAAAAAAAGCAAAAAAATAGAGCCTATAGACTGGGGAATAACTAACCCCATCTTCACTAACAATGAATTTATCCCGAAAAATGTCACCAATTTAAAAACAATATTTCTCAATCACAAAAATAATTGAGGTTCAGACTGTATGGGGTAGAAAATCCCCAAACCCCCAAAATAAAGAGAACCCATTTACCCAAGGGAGGGCCCCTTCACCCAAATTTCAAACCCCCTTTAATAACAAAACATAAAATGGAACCAAATAAAACCCAAATCCTAAACCCATATTTAAACTGGGAAAAAATACTAAGCAACACAGGGCCCCCAAATTATGCCTAAACAGATTTCCCCCGTGGCACTCTGTATCACAAGGCTTATTCCTTAAGAAAAAAGGGGGGAGTAGATGTAAAAAAAAAAGAGAAGGGTTTTCCCCTTTTCAGGCGAGGAAAATAAAAGAGCGGCTAAAAGAGGCAATATAAACTGAAATGCGTAGGGGACACTGGGCAGAGAAATAAACCCAAACACGAACTTAAACTAAAAGAATCCTTTAGGGGTCGGGAATGCGGGGAAAAACTAAAAAAAAAACCCCCCAAAAAAATCGAAAGAAACCCAAAAAATTTTTTCTTCTTTGCCAAATCAAAATCGGGGAAAAAAAGTCCGTATTGGGCCCCTAACTTAAAAAAGATGGGGCCCCCACACAGATGACAGCAAGGAAAAAAGTGAGCTACTCCAAAACCCAATATGATCCAGTTTTTAGCAAGCCGTAAACCCGACTGAGAGTCAAAATCAAAAAGAATTTTTTTTTTGAGAGCCACAAAATTTTAAATTAAAAACAAGCCTATCCGATGTTTTTTTCCTTTAACCCCCAAAAAACTTTGAAAAAGGGGATAAATGACCTGCCCATGCACTCTGCCCCAGGGCCCGACTCAGGGAAATCCGTGTTCATCAAGAACTGCAAAAAAGCCCCTATCACAGCCTTTTCCCTCCTATGGAGAGGGAGCCCGGGGGCACGGGGGCCGGGGGGCCCTCAGTTACTAAAAAAAAACAGATATTCCCCACTCCACAAAGGGGGCAATAAAGAAAAAGCAAAGAACTACAGACCCAAAAGCACAAACATCCCCTATCATAAAAATCTTTGAAAGGGTCCTAAGAAACAAGATCACCACCCATCTAGGGAAAACCCCTCAGTTACACAACCCAGGGCAAAAATGGGTTTAGAAAAGGGGCGCTCCCCGTTTTGTCTCAACTATTGGATCACTAAAGACAAGGGCCCAAATGCACTAAAAAAAACAAAAAGAATGCAGATGTAATATATTCCCCACTTTGCAAAAGCCTTCGACAAAATGACCATGGGGGGAATAGCGCACAAAATGCGTGTAAAAAGGGAATTAAAAGGGAAAAAATCCCCGGTTTGATGGATCTATAATTTCCCCCCTAACAGAACCCCAGAGAAAAAAACCCAAGGGTAAAGTCCCAGGCATCGGGAAAAGCTCTGTTCCACAAGGCACAGTAAATCGCTCCCATTTGTTCCTCATCCTCATTTTCCGACATAGACAAGGTGTCAGCCAAAAGACCGTTTTCCTTTGCAGATGACACCCCAACTGCATGACAGTGTCCCTTTCCCTTGCAGGGGCACTGCAAGGGTCCAGGCGGACATCAACCAAATCTTTTAGGGCTGCAGGGAAAACCCAAAATGAAATTCAAAAGAAGAGGGAAAATTTAAATTTAATTTCTCGATAAGGTAAAAATGAGGAAATTAAATCTTCATCAGAGTAAAAAAAACAAATTTTTTGGCCACAAAATAGAAACGAAAAACCAGGTCAAAAACCTGGGGAGTTATTATGTCGGGGGATCTCACCTTCAAGGGGCCATTTAAATTTTTATCAATCGCCCTCTGCTAGAAAAATGACAGGAGGGTAATGAGGGAACCCTTTAAAACTAGGGAGGCCCCAAACCCATGATGACACTTTTCTGGTCTCTTGTCCCTTTTTTAAAAGGGTGGAATATTGCTGCACTCTAACAGACCTTTCAAGGCCCGGTGGAAAATTTCCGCCCTAGAAAAAAGTACAGAAAAACTTTCACCGGGGCCATAACGGAAAATAAAACACCTCAATTACTGGGAGCGCTTGGGTTTCTAAACCTTTTCCCCGGAACCCCAGGAGGGGGAGATACATTATTATAATAAATCCTGGGAAAATCCTAGAGGGGCTGTACCGAACTTGCACACGGAAAAAACACTCACTAAAAAAGCAAAAAGGGCTTGGGAGA